GCATAAAGGCAGCTAGGATAAAATTATTTCAATAGGAATGTGTATGGATGGAGACATGATTGAAGTAAATTAACATCAGTGAGAGAAATGATTATTTCTCTCTTATTATTTAATAACTAATTATTGTACTGGGACCGAGGTTTTTCCTCTTTTCTCCTTCCTCATCCAGAAATCAACCAGGGTGAGAAATCTTTTGCAAAGATTTACCCAGGCCAAAATCTAATCAGACAGTAAAAGAAATTCTATGTTTAGGTCAATGAGAGGATTCTTACTGTGTTTACTCAGACAGGTCTGAGGTCTTCCTTTTGTCAGATAGGTGATATGGAAATTGACAAGGCTCTTTGACCAAGATTTGGGTGATCCAAGTCATGCATCCCAAGATCCTCATTGTAATACAGTTCAGCCTCTCCCAATCAGAATTGAGTGTTAGCCTAAGGAATATCTAGTCTTCCAAGAGTCCACCACCAGGAGGGGTTTTTGGTCTAAGAGAGCCGACCAAATGACCATCCTTTTATTAATAAACATGCTAGCCTTATTAATGAAATGATTAAATTACCCAGAATCTATGTCTCTTGAACTTTTTAAAATGCCACATTAGGCATGGGATGGAAATGGGATGGAAGATTTGAGGATATGGAGGTAATAAAAAATATTACTAAAATGCCTTTCATTTCAGTTATACTTTACAGTTTTCAAAGCAATTTTATATGCTTGATAATCAAATTCAATGTGTGCTATGTAGGACAGGAATTATTACCATTATTTTACAAATGAGGAAATTGAGGCTTAGAAGGGCTAAAGGAGTTATCCAATGTTACACAGCTAATAACTTGTAGAACCATAAGTAGAACAAACTCCATCTGACTCATAGCCAACAGTTCTTTGTTTTACATACTGGTTCTTGGTTCCCTTCTCTTCTCATTAAAGCTATATTAATTCTACTTCCATGATCACATTTGACCACTCTTCCCCACCTTCCATTTCGATTAAAAGAAAAGTCCTAGGTGTTACAGGCAAGTTCTTAGATTTAGCTGTTTTTATTTGTCTAAGATGCCAATTTCGCTTTTAAATATGAAAATCCTTATTGAAAAATGGAACCTAGTTAGACAAAAAATATTCACATATAAATATACATAATTTTTTTCAACCTAGGTTAAAAACCAAATATAAGTAGGAAATAAATAAGTTCATGAAAAGATAACTACTACAGCAAAGTTCTTATCCCTTTTTGTGTCATGAAGCCCTTAGGTAATCTAATATATTCAGACATCTCAAACTGGATGTTCATTAGAGATCTTAAACTCAACAAGTCCAAAACAGAACTCATTATCAAAGGCAATACTATCTTTCCAGTCCCTCAGGCTCACAACCTAAGTGTCATCTTGGATTACTCAATATCTCTCACTCCCAATCTCCAATCTGTGCACTTCACCTTTGCAACATCTCTCCAAGATGCCCCCTTTTCTATTCTGATACTGCCACCACTGGAGTATAGACCCTCATCATGTCACACTTTGAATAGTGCAACAGCCTGCTGGTGGGTCTGCCTGCCTCAAGTTTCTTCTCACTCTAATCCATTCTCCATTAAGTCACCAAAGTGATTCTCCTAAAGTACAAATCCGATTATGTCACTCCCCTACTCAATAAATTTCAGTGACTATCTAGAACCTCCAAGAGCAAATACAAAATGTTCTGTTAGGCATTCAAAGCCCTTCATCATCTAGCGCCTTCCTACCTTTCAAGTCTTCTTATATCTTACTCCTCATTTACTCTATGACCCTGTAACTCTGGCCTCCTGACTTCCATAAACAATACCCTCAATTCCAGGTATCTTCTCTGGCTATCCTCCATGCCTGGAATACTCTCCTTCCTGAACTCCATCTACTGACTTTCCTGCCTTAAAGTCTTAACTAAAATTAAAACTTTTAAAGGTAGCCTTTCACAACTCCTTTTAATTCTAGTGCCTTTTCTTTGTTATTTCGTCTTGTTTACCCTGAATAAAGTTTGCTTTGTATATATATATTTGCATGTCATCTTCCCCATTATATTGTAAGCTTCTTGAGCACAGGGACTGTCTTTTGCCTTTTTTGTATCCCCAGCACCTGAAACTTAGTAGGATTTTAATAAATACTCATTGATTGATTGGCTGAGTACTTACTACATGCTTAAAACTATACAGGGCACGTTGAGATGAGAAGAGCACAGAATTTAGAGCTGAAAAGGCCCTTAGAGATGTGGTATATAAAATCATTACAAGAAAAGTTGCTAGTTGTAGAGAAGGGTACAATTTTATTGGAGAGATAAGAATTTGGACAGATAAATTTAGTAAAGAACAAAGAAGTATAAACTAATGAAGGTATCATGGCTTAGTGGAAAGATTCATTTGAAGTTAGAGGGCATTGTGTCCTACCCTGGTTCTGCCAGTTTTTGTTTGACTTTCAGCAACTCACAACTTCCTTTAGTGTTATTTTCCTTACCTATAAAATGAAGGTGTGGGACTAGATGATCTTTAAGATCCTTTTCCAGATTTAAAACTGATTCTAAATACTAAGTTGCATGGCAATTCTATAAGCACTATAAGCTCTATTAGTAGAGATTATCAGGTTCTGAAATAATCAAAGGCAGCTTCACAGAAGAAGACTATTGCAGACTGGATGGGATTCAATAGGCAAAAAATATAAAAGGACTGCATGGAGAACTGTATGAGTCAAGATACAGAGATAAATAAGAATGATGTGACTGTGTGTGTGTGTGTGCATGTATGTATGAGTGACATACAGGGGGTCAAGAGGGGGAACAGAATTTAGGGAAGCTATCTTTACTTGTGTGGAGGAGCATCTGAGTTGGGGAATAGCAAAACATAAAATTCATTAGATACGCTAGGGTCAAGTTATAAAGGGCTCTGAGTATCAAGTTAAGAAATTTTGACTTAATGTGTTACCTATAAAGCAACTCTCAAGTTTTGCTTGATATTCCTTCAAGAAACATTTATTTAAACTTACTATGTATAAAGCATGGGTCTAGATGAAAGTGGTTTTTTTATTCATTTTTATTTGGGAGCTGTGTGCAAAACTGATCAAGGGCTGAAGAAAAAGTGTGTACAAATGCACATACAAAAATAACATGTCAAAGTAAAAGGCAAGGCTGGAAAAGAGGAAATTAAAAAAAAATTGGGTCAGGACTATAGCCCTACTAACCATTTAGCTTAAGTTTGAAGTTCTTATATAACCTTTGGGTTCAGAGGTGGGAGAAAGTAGTACTTGAGGATAAACTCCCAAGGAATACAAGTAACATGAAAAAGAGGATTCTCCTGACTATTCTGACAACAAAAGCAATTTAAGGTCATTTAATAATTTATTAAATTAGATGTTTTCAATTTAAATAGATATAAAACAAATGGACATGGTTATTATCATGTAAATAGAACAAATAAAAAAGTTATTTTTAAAACAATCTGTTACAAAAATGTTATGAATAAATTTGAAGTACTAATGAAAAGATATTCCATACTCTTATGGATAGTCACCAAATCATATTTTAAGTAAGACTGAATAATATGTAATCAATGAAGTACCAAACATTAAATTTTAGTGTATTATTTTTTAACCAATAACACACCTACACCTATATGTGTTACATACTACTCTAGAAAGCCAGTACTATTTCCTTTAAATTTCTTGGAATAGCACTTAGCTCTGACTTGTGTATAAACAGGTACTTAAGATTGGCTATTTTCAAGAGGAATCCAAGGATATGTGAATTTGTCTAAAGAGGGTACTTTACTCTTTGGACTTTTAAAATGTCTTAAATCTTTAAAGAGATTCCTATAAAGGATCACGATACTAGTTATGAACACTGCAGTGGCCATTATATGCTTTCATTGAAAAGCAAGGTTACTTTATACATACTGTCTTGGGAAAACTATTGAGGTGGGATTTTAAAGAAGTCTAATTTGTAACTGATGAAATTAAATGAAACTCTGTGAAAAATATGTACCAGAATCAAGTAAATAAATATGCATGTCAAAAGAAGGTTAAATAAGAAATAAGTTTGGTCTATAATTCCAGCATTGTACTCAGTATCACCAAATGATACAAAAATAGAACGTTAAGTCTCCTGTCCTTAATGAGTTTTCAATCTAAATGGCTGAGGTTACAGTCTAATAATTTTTTTAGAAGTCAATGTCTAAAAGAAATTTTACAAATGGCAAAAAATAAAAATAAAATCAACAATATTTCCTATAATTGTTCTCCATGTTGTTTAACATAGACTGTTTAATGAAGTTGTTTCAAATACTGAAAATGTTTATGATAATATTTACCTGACTTTGATTCTTTGTGATTTGGATCTTGGGAAGAAAGTACATTTCAATGCTATTTTACCTTTACAGAAAGGCTCAAGCAAACTAAATTTAAAGAGTGCCAACTGTGGAAAGAACACCATATGGGCCACTGAAGGTAATTACAAAACAAGTTAGAAAACAGTTCCTGACCCTAAGGATGTAACTGGCTGGAAAATACAAATAATTTTTTAGTACTCAGCCCCTCAGGAGGGACATATCACATACAAGAGATCTTTACAACTTAGCAAAGGTATTATCATGATTAAGAAATCTGGATGCTAAGCCTCTTTTAGAAATGAAGACAGTTGTTAAAAAATCCAGGAAGATTATAATGAAATGAAGCAGAATAGAAAAAAATTATAGGGATTTTTAAAATACCAAGGACACAACTAAAGGCTAGATTGTTACACAAGGAAATGGAATGGCTGACAAGATTACTGAAATGGAAAAAAAGCTCAAAAAATAACTGAAATGCTGGTGACAGTTGGACTTGGGGAAAATGCTTGAAGTATTCTTGGAAATACTAAAGAAAAAAATCTAATCATTATATTTTGGGAAATGTGAAAAATCTTTTAAAAACAATAAAAAAAAAGCAATCTTCTGGAAATAAACAGAATTCAGAGAATTGTAAGAAGAAGAAACTCCAAGTTCAACTCACCCAAGCACATTATCTTCAGACTTCAAAATTGTGATGACAAAAATCTTTCAAGCAGCTAAAAGAAGAAAGACATAATTATTTAACAAAGAAGCATCAAATTGTGTTTCAGAAAAAATAATATTTTTAACAAAAAAAAACGATCAAAGAAACTGAAAAAAGTTTGTATAATATGGATTTCCAATGCAATATCAATTTCTAAGTAAATCTAAGAATTCTTTTTAAAAACAAAAACATACATTTAAAAACCCAGAGGAGCTTAAAGCATATGTAGAGCAAAAGAACTTAACTATGGTTTTAAATAGTGATTAGTTAGCCATTATCTTATAGCAGAGATTTTTTCCATAGGATGATGAAAATAAATCAACTTACATTGGTTATGAAATTACTAATACAGTTGATTTGGAGGAAAAACAAGTATAGCAACAGAGAGACAGATAATGAAAAAATGAAAAAGTGAAAGTGCTTTACAATGATGTAGAACTTAAAAAGGTGGGTGAATAAGGAGAGAAGTCATTGTAAGGATTCTTTTCATAGAAGAGCAGGGAAAAGATGAGATTTTATATGTATTTGAGTCAAAATACAAAATATAGTACTTTTTTCATTTTTTTTTGTTTTTGGCTTAGGATGAGTTTTTTAAAAGACATATGGATTTAAATAGAAATAATGGAATAAATGTTATCATGAAGCATGTTAGAGCAAAAAATGTTGAACTACAATAAAAATACTTGACAAAGTGAAATGTAAAGTAGAAAGCACAAAGAGAAATTTTTAAAAATCACAAAAATTAAAACCACCTCCAAAAAAAAGATACATTAATTTGGAGGGTTTTTAAAACTCCAGACCTGTCACTTGATTATGTGGAGGAAAATGCCATATGAAAACTTCCCCCACCCTTGCACAGCAGCTAATCCTGCTTGACATTGTTCTAGAGAAGACTGCAGGGACTTGAGTGGTTAAGTGATTTGCCCTCAGTCATAAAGTTAGCTTGTATTAGAGCAAAGACTTGAAGCCCTATTCAACCTAGGTTAATTCCCAAGGAGAACATGTTAGCCATTTTCCCATAACCCACTCTACTTTTCTTTTAATATATATGCAACAAATAATGTAGGAATTAAGCTTATAAAGAAGAATCTTAAAGAATCATGAGAAAACTAGCAATAATCTGGACATTTCAAATCATGCACTATTATGCACTATTAGAATATAATGACAAGCAAAAAGATGAGTAAGAAGTAACACATTTGAATAGGACACTGAATGAAATGAACTTAATACATATAATGGAGTACTTAAAGGAAAAATAATCACATAATAATTACCCCCCCAATAAAGGTAGAACATTCAACAAAAAATGATCACTTTCCAAGTCATGGCAAAGTATTAGGAAAATGCATAGGAGCAGAAAATTTAAATACTACATATACAGCTTCAGGATAAAGATATTAATATGATCAAAAAGTGTAGTGGAAATTTTTTAAAAAATGTTTTACTGAACAATGACTTCTGGATTAAGGAAGAAATTATATTTAAAACTGGCAGATTAGAGCAAAGAAAAGACAAATAGGAATATAGCATATTAAAATTTATGCAATATAGCCAAAATACTGAGAGAAACAAATTTATACTACTAGTAGTACTATTGCTACTACTACTATTAGTACTAAGAAAGAATAATATAATCATCAGAGACTAACTTTACATAGCTTTATGCTATATTTTAGAATTTAAATGAAATAGATATCTATAAGGTTGTGAACACACACCCACAAGGTAGTAAACATAACCGACCAATCTAAATTCACATGGAAAATGGAAACAGGCCATTCGTTAACAAATGATATACTATGTGTTAAGAAGTAAGTCCCTCTTACCCTTCCTTATTAACCTCTGAAAGCCTAAAAAAATATCACCCCAGGAAAAACCCTGGAACAGCTGAACCAGAAGAAAGATGAAGTGCAGCAGTCCAGTAGCCCAGGTAGCTTGAGGGATTAAATGGAAAGGACCTTCTTGTCCTGGGGGAAAAGGAGCAGTACAGAACTGGAGAACTAGAGCACAGAACAGCAAGCTAGCTGAAAGCCCTACCTCAGTATACCAGGAGGAGATCCTGAAACCCAAGTGGTAGAGCAGGCAAACAACAACACCAGGACCACCGAGTGCCTCAGGGAGGGCGGGACAACAGGTAGAAACCAGCTTGGAAAACCACCAGGTGCCTAGGCATTCTACAGTGACCTGATCTCCCAGTGCCTCACTAAAACTCTGGGAAGTGCTCCAAGGGGCCCCAGGTAGATAAACATCCTACAACATCCATCTGAAAGGAGCTGAAGAAAGCAAAAAGAAGGAAAGGTCCGGGTGAGCAGGCAACCTCCAGGGGCCAGAATACCCAATTCTACCCTGATCTAACTAAGAAAATGTATTGAGAGAAAAGGAAAGGAAGAGGCAGACAAGGATAAATTACATTACAGGAAAAGGCACAAAAACCTATTACAGTAGAGGGAAAGAAGGGAGGGAAATGAACATTGTGTGAACCTTACTCTCATCAGATTTGGCTCAAGAAGGAAATAACATAAGGTATAGAAATCTACTTGCCCATAGGCAGTAGGAGAGAAAAGGGGAAAGAAAAGGGAGGGAGGACAGAAAGGAGGGAAGAAACAGTAAGGGCAAAGGTGAAGAGAAGAGAGGGAGCTAATAGAAAGGAGGCAGGACTGAGAAAGGTGGTGATCAAAAGCAAAACACAAATGAGGAGAGAAAGGGAAAAAACAGAAAGAAAAGCATAAATGGGGGTGGAATAGGATGGAGAGAAAGACACAGATAGTAATTATAATTGTGGATGTGAATGGGATGAACCCTCCCATAAAACACAAGCAGAGAGCAGAATGGATTAAAAACCATAATCCTAAAATATGTTGTTTATAGGAAACATATTTGAAACAGAGCGACATACACAGGGTAAAGGTAAAACGCTAGAGTAGAATATATTATGATTTAGCTGAAGTTAAACAAAAAAAAAGCAGGGATAGCAATCCTGATCTCAGACAAAGCAAAAGCAAAAATAGATCTTATCAAAAGAGATATGGAAGGAAACTACATCCTGCTAAAAGGCACCATAGACAATGAAGTAATATCATTACTAAACATATATGTACCAAATGGTATAGCATCCAAATTCTTAGAGGAGAAATTCAGCGAGTAACAGGAAGAAATACACAGCAAAACTATACTAGTGGGGGATCTCAAACTCCTCCTCCCAGAACTACATAAATCTAACTGCAAAATAAACAAGAAAGAAGTTAAGGAGGTGAATAGAATATTACAAAAGATATATAATTTTCTCTGAAGAAAATGGAATGGGGATAGAAAGAAATACACTTTTTTCTCAGGAGTACATGGCACATACTCAAAAACTGACCATGTACTAGGGCATAAAAACCTAACAATCCAATGCAGAAAGGCAGAAATATGAAATGTATCCTTTTCAGATCATGATGCAATAAAAATTATATGTAATTTTTATTTAAGGGCCATGGAAAGATGGACTAAAAATAATTGGAAACTAAATAATCTAATCATAAAAAAGACTGGGAAAAACAACAAATCATAGAAACAATCAATAACTTCATTCAACAGAATTATAATAATGAGACAACATACCAAAACTTATGAGATGCAGCGAAAGCAGTTCTTAGGGGAAGTTTTCTATCTCTAAATGCTTACATGAATAAAACAGAAAAAGAAGAGATCAATGAATTGGGCATAAAACTAAAAAAACTAGAAAAAGAACGAATTAAAAATCTTCAACTAAACACCAAATTATAAATACTGAAAAGCCAAAGTAGAAATTAAGAAAATTGAAATTAAGAAAACTATTGAACTAATAAATAAAACTAAGAGCTGGTTTTATGAAAAAATCAATAAACTAGATAAACCTTTGGTTAATTTAATTAAAAAAAAAAAGAAAGAAGAAAACCAAATTACCAGTATCAAAAATGAAAAGGGTAAATCCACCACCAAGGAAGAGAAAATTAAAACAATAATTAGGAACTATTTTGCCCAACTGTATGCTAATACATTTGACAATCTCAGTGAAATGGATAAATATTTACAAAAATATAAATTGCCTAGATTAACAGAAAAGGAATCAAAATACTTAAGTAACCCCATCTCCGAAAAAGAAATTGAACAAGTCATTGATGAACTCCCTAGGAAAAAATCTACAGGGCCAGATGGATCTATAAGCGAATTCTATCAAATATTTAAAGAACAATTAATTCCAATACTACATAGACTATTTGGGAAAATAGCCAAAGAAGTAGTCTTACCAAATTCTTTTTATGATACAAATATGGTGCTGATACCTAAACTGGGAAGAGTCAAAACAGAAAGAAAATTATAGACCTATTTCCCTAATGAATAGAGATGCAAAAATTTTAAATAAAATATTAGCAAATAGATTACAGCAACTTATCACAAGAATAATACACTATGACCAGGTAGGATTTATACCAGGAATGCAGGGCTGGTTTAATATAAGGAAAGCTATCAGCATAATTCATCATATCAACACCAAAACTAACAGAAACCACATGATCATGTCAATAGATGCAGAAAAAGCTTTTCACAAAATACAACACCCATTCCTATTAAAAACACTACACAGCATAGGAATAAACAGAGTCTTCCTTAAAATAATAAATAGCATCTACCTAAAACCTTCAGCAAGCATCATATGTAATGGTGGAAAGCTAGAAGTATTTCCAATAAGATTGGGGGTAAAACAAGGATGTCCATTATCACCATTGTTGTTCAATATCGTACTGTAAACATTAGCTTTAGCAATAAGAGAAGAAAAAGAAACTGAAGGTATTAGAATAAGCAAAGAAGAAAGAATGCTATCACTCTTTGAGAATAACATGATGATATACTCAGAGAACCCTAGAGAATCAAGTAAAAAATTATTTGAAATAATAAACAACTTTAGCAAAGTTGCAGAAAAGGTAAAGTATGCAAGACATAGAAGTCAATGACTATGGGAATCTATTATTTGATAAAACCAAAGAT